TACACAGAAATCATAAACAAACTCTTTACAATCTTCGCACTCCATATATAGACTAACATATTTGCGCTGTTGCCCCCAACCACACTTGGAGTGGGGATTGTCCATAGGTGGATTTTTGGCGCGGGTCTTGCCCGTGTTGAGATTGCGCTGGAACCCCCATTCCCTATACTACTAAAACTATAAAACTCGCGTTAGTTCGATCACTGGTATTGACTCGAGTATAATGGCAATATAGGGGCTAGCCATCCAGTCTCGGATCTAGCTTAAAAGGTCTTTTACCCCTGCTTCATGAGGGTAATTATTTATTTTCTCAATAATCCAGGGTCACCCAATTTCCACGCCAATTTTTTTCCAAAATCGCGAAAATGAATTAAATTGATAGGGAAATTCATGCAATAAAGAAGTGAATACTTAAAAGCAGGACTACAGGGGCTCTTCATCGTTATAGCAACTACTTAAACGCTTTAAAAAATCAGTTCTACTGAGATCATAGGTCGTTTTAAATTTCCTTAGATTTAGTGTCCATGGAAAAAAGCAGAGAAAAAAAGTTGCCTCAAAGAATGTTTAGCAGATCTTGAAGGTAGCACTTGATTGTTTACCGTTAGAAACCCGTCAAGTATTGAGTAATTTAATATGTTATTATATTGAGTTTAAAGAATTGTAAATACGTTATTCTATTTAATTTTAGAGATTGTTTTGGTGTTTAATATATCCTTAAGAGACTCAAATATCAATAAATTGCAATTCAAATAAAATACAGCTTGCTCTATTTTGTGTCATTTTTATGTAATATACACATATTTCAATAACGTTTGTCGCCTGAAAAGCTAGAAAGCTGAGACCAACAAGGATTATGGGTAGTTACATTTTACATGTTTCAACCGCTTTAATAACTGTTGATGGATTTTAGATCTTTTACCAGTCACAGTCTCACCTCTTCTGAGCATCCTCAAGCTGCAAATTGTATCAAAAGCTTGACTTGCTTGATATTAAAAGTTTCCCATGATCCTCAGGGATCTCAGCTTTCTAGGTTATTTAGTGACTAACTTTATTGAAATAAGTGTATCAAAGACAGAAAACAGTGTTTCATCCCATTTCGAAACACAATAAAACATAGATTGTAGATAGATCAAATACAAGACATCACTTTAGCTGAATTGGAAGTTTTACATTCAAACAACGACACACGCAACGTAAACTATCATTTAGGAACAGAAAATACGCAAACAGCACTGAGCTCTCAAAATACATCTGGAAACTAGGTCTATCACTAGGGCTTCGCCTTCTTACCGCACTCCCTTGCGTCATCAACATGCGCGCGCTCTCAAGTTGATGACGCACGGGAGTAGGGTAAGGCGTGATTTAAACTGCATCCGGTCACTAAAAATAGCCCAACCGGGATTTTACATGGCGCGCGTGCGTTATTAACAAGTTTCCCTCTCTTATTTATGCTGTCTTGATTCAGTGTATTCGACTGAAAAAAATAATGTTAGAAAGGCTAACGGCTAACGCTAATTATTTAATCCGTCAAATGATTTTAAGATATAGCAGGTAGCAAACTTGCCGCTCCACGACCAAAAGAAAACCAAGCTTCTATGGACGACTTTCTTGCTCTCCTTCAGGATTGTCTAAAACCAACCAGTATGAAGCTAGATAAGGTATGTTGAAAGAATTTGCTTCTATTAAAGACTCGTACCCAGTCGCGTCTCTTGTCTTATTGATCTCACGCTGTGGTTGATGGGAAACATCAGACAAAATCTGTTAACATTTGGTCAGCTACGATTTCAAGCTCACGCCCCCTCACGTGAGCCTATACAAATTATGTCTCAAAAACACGGTTTTTGGATCTTTTCTCAAAATAATTGGGTCTCTCCTGGAAGGATTTTCGAAAATCAATTTCTAAATTCCAATTTGATAATGGAACGAGGGCCACAGGATATCAAGTGCTCCTTTCGGAAACACGGATGATTTATTTTTTACTTATTTATATTAATTTGGAGTATTTATTTGAGCATGCGTGACGGCTACTAAGAAACTGCCTCGTACCCAAGCTAGCTCGTTTTAAAAACGGTTTTCGGCACAACGGTATTGCAATTTTCGATGCTATATATTTTAGAGTGCAAGAAGCGTATCTTTGCTAATAGTTTAACTTTCTAATGATTTTCGTTCTTGGCTAGTTGGTTTGATTCGCTTTTTTTCCAAGTTGAGACGTTTTAAACTCTCCCTTTTCACGACGCGGGCTCAATTTTGGTCATCAAATACACCCATTTGAACAGACTCGCGCATCAAAACCGGTTTAAACCAGAACTTAACAATAAATTATGCATGTCATTATGTCTGGATTCATATATAGAGGTGTAGTTCTCCTTTTTTGTCTATTGAAGCCGGGAGTCCCTAGCAGCATGGTAGCCATAAAATATTTAATGAAAAGTTATATTAGTGGATAAGAGAAAATTTTTAATTTGTAGCATTTGGTCTTTTTAAATGGAATACACTATATAAGGCGGGCGGCCAGGAGGACTACGACGCCAGTTTTCAAAGTTCAAGAATTTCTCCTGCGACACCTCAAAATTACTATATTTAAGCCTTTTGATTGCAACTTTTGTGATTCAACCAAAATAAAAAATCTGCGGTTAAAGCCTTGGTAACTTCACTCGATAATCTTGTTTTCGGGAGAATGGTATCGAACAACCAAACAAGCCAAGTAGGGGAGACTTTTCGTCAGGCTACTTGTATATCAACAGGAGTGATATCTCTTTTTCTAGCCATCTTCACAAGCGCCGGGAATGGTTTTCTTCTCTACGTACTGCATAAAGATCCACTAAAAGTTCTTCGTAGACCAGTGACTGTCTTCATTGGGGCACTAGCTGTCGTTGACTTTTTAACAGGGGCATTTTCAGACTTCGCCTTCGCTGCTCATGAGTTTGACTGCGCTATGGGCGCAAATAATTATCCAGGAGCGATTGGGAACTTTTCCGGAATCGCCTACTTCTTCACTGTTAACAGTGCTCTCCTTCTCGTCGCTGCTTTGTCCGTGGAAAGATTAATCGCGGTGGCCTTTCCCCACTACTACTACCGAAATTATGTTACCAAAAGAAAGATCTTCATTGTGGTAGCAGTTATCTATACCCACTCCTTTGTGTTCGCAATGCTTCAACTGGCGAAAATCCCCAACCAAATTTACCACAACCTTGACCTTAACATTCACATCAGTTTCCCAGTAGCAACAGTATCTATTACCTACGGGGCCATTTATGTGATTTTCCGAAAAAGACGCCTAAGAATCGATACCCACAAATCAGGAGAAAACGCTACCCAAAGGAATGCATCAGTCGTTGTCGAAAGCTCAGATGTTAGACGTCAAATCCGAAATCTCAAGATTGAACAGCAGCTCGTTTCAACTGCTTTTATTATATTATTGTGCATGATCGTAGCTTTGATTCCGTATCTAGTTTTTGTGTACGTAGAGATTGAATGTCCCAGCTGCATCGATACTGAATGGTTCTTTGCAGGCAGGCGCCTGTGCGTTCCATTTCTCTTCAGCAACAGCGCGGTTAATCCGCTAATATATGCCCACAGGCTGCAACATTACAAAAACTCATTTCGTGCTATACTCATAGATTCGCAATCTCGAGTTATATCACTAACTAGCCATATATATATGAAACAAAAATCGGTTGTTCCGACGCAGAGCATACGAGAAACTCCTTCACCTTGAAGCCTTCCTTCAAATATGAAAATCATCATACTTTTTTTCCGCTTCCTTTTTTCGTATTTCTTTAAAATGATTTTGTAATCAAAAAACAGTGCCACATCATGAATTCGAAAATGGCCTTTTCTTAGAGGCGGCCATGTTTGCAGTTGGTCTTTTACTAGAATGATTTTATCTAAACCGCGAAAGAGATATGACTATTTAGTTGATTAAAAAACAACAACAAAAAACAAACAAACAAACAAACAAAAGAAAACAATGGGTTGAGAGTCTACTACTAACTATCATGCGTACTAATTTCTAACGGGTTAAATAAAATCACTCTAGACTCGGTGAAACTGGGGCCAGATACTTATCCACGTGGCTGTGTGGTATGTTCAGTTGACGACACTGCTTCCTCTCCAAAGCTGCGTTGTTGATTCATCTGCGTTGCAGCAACTAAAAGACCCTGGGTTTGCAGATAAAGGATAAAAGCCAGACAATTTGTTGGTTGAATCCCGTATAACCAAACTCACATCCTGCCAATACACGACTTTCATAAGTGGCTGCTGCTGATTTGCATAAACATTAAAAATCAATGTTTTTGGAGTGAAAACCCTTTTAAATCATTGATCTTGTTGATTTAGATAAGGCATGTGAGTTTTTACTTAAATTAATAAATCCTTTACAATTTAAGATGTGAGCATTTGAAGTTTTGAAAATGCGTCAAAACGAGGCCACCAAGGCTTCCAGTGATAAACATACAAAACTCTCTATTTTCGTTCTTTCATAACTTCTTTGGTATGCAGTCAAATTCTACAAAATTTTCTGGAAATAGTTTTCGTGAAGTATTTTCTCAGATAGCATTAATAGTTTCTGGTAAAAAGGCTTCATTTTCTCTATCTGCAAAAACTGAGTTATGAAAGTCGTCAGGAAAAACGTTACTGGAATAAATACATGCAGAAAAGCAATGATGATGATGGCATATGATTTAGATAGCGCCCTTTCTATGTGCGATACAAACAAAGCCACAATCTTCATAAACTTCACATAATTTTCATATAAAAATTTTGAAACAACCAACTAGCTCAAAGATGGAATCGAAATTCAGCATGTTAGGTATATAGGTTTTGCAAAAAAATTTCGAATCAAGGGAGAGACATAACAGACCCGTGTGATTTCAAGAACCAGGAACCAGATCTATTATCACTTGATAACAAATATTTACCTTTTGGCAAACAAATTTTCTTTCCAATTTATAACAGTAAGCTCGTGCAGGAGTTTCTACTAGTTGTGATGGGTTCAGGACGTGGTCTGCACTGTTTAGTTCACATCGTCCATATCCACCTTTGCTGTTTTCTATATAGTTGGTTGATAAACATCTACAGTCATGCAGAGATGCATTTCATCTGGCATTCAGGAGCATCTTGAACGGCAACACCCAGGAAAGTGTTAAAAATGCTTTTGAAAATAATGGAAGAAAACTTCTCAGAGAAAAAAACGTGCTCAGATTTAAGGTGTTTGACTACTTAATAGCGAAGCGAAGTTTGACCTACGGTCTCGTGCAATTTCGACTCTTTGAAAAAGACACTCGTACGAATTAATCCCAAATCATGAACTCCCCAAACCGCGTGATCACTTAGTAATCTTCATTTTGCAATGTTTTTCATGTATATTATTATGAATGTAACGTGATAGTTTTTAATATCCCATAACAGTGTAATGATTGATCATATAAAAGCTATTGAAAATAATGGAAGAAAACTTCTCAAAGAAGAAATTGCTGTCAGATTTAAGATGGTTGACTATTTTTATAGCGAAGCGAAGTTCAGTCGGCTTAAAATTATAGACTAATGATGCTTTGTACGATGATAGAATCAGTTTAATAACTATGTATGAAATGCGATTTGAAAACATTATAATAAAAATACTATAAAAAAAAAAAAAAAAAGAATAAAATTGTTTATTATATAATATAATTTTTTTCTCTATTTCGAAAAATTGATATCTTCACACGTGAAAATAACATGTTATTTTCATATGTGAAAATAACGCTATTGCGATGGCTATTCAAAAATACACGGAAAGAATTGCCTGAAAAAGCCAAAACATACTTCATACGCTTGGAGATAGGAATTTATCTTCTCGTGTTGAAAATCTTTTCAACACTCGAAGATAAAATTCGTATCTCCGCGCGCCCATGTAATATCCTATGCATTTGATTATTTTTTGAAATCTAAGATTATTTTTTGTAACTAAGACATTCTAAATTTCAATCGTGAAATAATGTTTTTTGATAAAGCCATTCGCTTGTTTATGGACCTATGTTTAGGTAACTAAAACCGTTAGGCGAAATGTTTCCAGATGTATATATTTAGAATATATAAACTCAAAACCTTTTTGTAAATGCTAATGTTTCAAACTTTTGATGAATTACTCGCCTTGATATCACATGTACTCATTTTAGTTCTATGGAAATCTAATAAACATCTTGACAACATACAGTCTTATACTATATGACATGCTTTACTGAACTTCGATATCTCAATAAAGTTGATGCTGCTTAAAAAAGACAAAGTCGTGCAGGTTGGAGGAAAGTGATCGGTGCGTTGGCCTATGTCCCTGATAAAATGTTATTTTATGAGGGCTAGCACTATGGTAGTCGTCATGACAGTTCATATACTGATTAACTAGTGGTTCTCAATACTAAACAACCCCGGGTTTTTTCTTCCAGACCACCTGACATGTTGGGGTGTATGTATTTTTAATTTCAACTCCTTCTATTTTCGATTGAATCGTATTCTTTTGATCTGTCAATATGAAATCATTTTTAATATTTTTTGTTTCATTAAATCACTGACATCGAGATGAAGCTTGTCTTAATATGTTTGTCTTTAATGTACTTCATAATAACCAAGTCAAGAAAATCATCAAATCAATATAACGATCAGGTGGCGCTTATTTGACTCAAGAATCATCAACCCGAGTAGCCTGTAGCACTGTTCATTAATCAATCAGCTAAGGGTGAAGTAAGATGATATTGATAAAGGGATGTGAAGGTTGTTGAAGAGAGGCTTCTGGACTTACTTATAGACGAACATGTCTCAAACTGTACAGAGAAGACACTGGTACCTTGCTTTACTATGTCCATCAGATAAAAAGGAACGAAGGGCAATAAATAAAATGAAATTTTAACACACAATATATAAGTTGTGTATATAGGTTGTGTGTGTAGGGGTTAAAAATATTCTGCGACACACAAAGGTTTTCACAAAAAAAGATTCAAAAAATAAAAATAAAAATAAAATAAAATAAAAAAACCACCATCAATATCGGCTTTCTCCGAGTTCGTCAGAATTTCAAATTTCTTTTAAGTAGATCGAGTAGTTTAGAATTGAGACTTGGCTAGGAAGATTGTCCAATGATTTTTAAATAAATGTATATAAAAAGATAAATTAATGGACTGACTAAGATCTATGACTTTGTGTTCTTCAATTCTCTCCAAAGTTCAGACATTTCAAATAAATAGCATAGAATCATTGATGATTAGGCATTTCGTTGCGGAACTATAGGCGAGTAAACAGGACGCAATTTTAGTTAAAATGTATGGAGCGGCCTTCTTGGTGTTCCAAGTGGTACACCATCATATCAGACAAAATTTCAAATATTTTTGACTATATTTCGCTTAAATATACTTTAAGTAGATATTTAAAACGTGACTTAGGGAAAATCTTTCAACTAGAGTAAATTATTTTACTATTTTAGACCACAGGTCATAGATATCCTCCCATTTTTTTCCCGTGGTTCAAAGGTTCTTTTTTAGACTTGCTTTATTTCGGACATCTTTGTGAGCAGATGAATCAGCAGATGAAAAGCCTGCTCATAGACAGAAAAAGTTTAATTTACTTCATTAGGCTTTAGTCAATTGAATTAGGTTATCGGTGCAAAATTTTATTAACTAGATGAAATATGTTCATTTTCTGTGATGGATCTCTGCTCTTTGATGACAGTTTTGATTAGATTTTTGACAATCGCTTTATTTTAAGATAAATCAACCCTTGAATATCTTATGCTCACTACTGGTTTAATAATTCCATATGATTAAATTTTGTCAATGGTCGTATTATTAAATCATTGTACATGTTATATAAATATTTATATTATGGAAGAAAAAAAAAAATTAACTATGAGTCACACTAGTAAATAYATTCTATATATACACATTCTATATATACATTTTTTCTAATTGAGAGACTACATTCACAAAGTTCATATTCCTCTCATTTCCTTCCTGGATTCGAGCTTCTAATTAAATACACTGTTATATTCAAAAGGGAAATCATGAAAGTAAAGCTATAAATCATAGTACAATGTCCTGACCAGCGTCTTTTTGTACAAACAGAGTTTCGCATGCATTAAATATAAAAATGAACTTTTAAATTCATGAACTTTTAAATTGGAATTCAGTGGATGAAGAGCCACACTGTAGAAATGCCACTTTATTTTAAAACCTTTTTTATTTATTTATTTTAAATTTAATGCAAACCATTTTCTTCACCTTGTACTGTCCCTGGCGCTTTCCTTTACCATGAGCTACATTTACAAAACATATCCTTTAGTTCTTTTCTGAATTCAGGCATTCTGAACGAATATACAATTATATTCAAGAGAGAGTTCATGAGAAGCAGGAAAAATAAGGCTACAAAAAGACCTGCGTCTTTATAAATAAACAAAGTTTCGTGTATATTTATAATATATATACTATCTGCTATATTCTTTGGCAACCAAGTGGCCAGTGAAACGACAGTCACTATGAAGAGTGTTTTGGTTAGTTTGCTGTTCTCTTGGATTGTTCTGCAGTGACGAAACTTGGTGAAGAATTTCAGTTTAACCCAAATAGAGAGATATGAGAAGACAATTGTGGCAAGTGACGCCGCGGGAAGAAGTGTTATCCAACGCAAATAGGGAAAAAATTGTTTGGAATCAAAAGATTGGAGGAAATGCTGCTGCATGACAATGATAGGCATCGTTTGACAAACTGTAAGAAACCACACGACTGCTATGACTAGGAAATAATGGGCTGACTTAGCGATTCGATGATGAAATGGCCAGAAAACTGCAACCAATCTTTCAAGAGATATAAGAGCCAGAGAAAAAATGGATGCAATAGAACACATTTCAGTTACGCCACTTAAAGTTAAGATATCTGGTTCAGAACAGAAAATTAAGAGAGCACCATGGACAATGCCAGAAATTCCAACGAGTAAATCTGCGATGGTCAAGTTCACCAGAAGGTAACTGGACTTCTTGACAAGAAATGTCTTCTTTAGGAAAACTGAAAGTGCGATGGAGTTTGCAACTGTAACAGCGAACGCTAGAGGAAAGCCTGTTCGAACCCACAAATAATTCAATTCCGTATATATTTCCAAGTTTTCACTGGTGTTCTTCAGTACTCCACTGAAAGACATTTTGACCTCGAAGATACGCCGTCAATACGGTTATATTAACAGAAGCCCAGTAGAGAATGTAGTCCTTTAAAGCAAGACAACCTTATTGGTTTTTAATGAATTTGCTAGAAAACATCTTTATGTCTTAAAAATTTATACCAGATGTTGACACACACCACTCATTGAGCTATATTCCTAATGAAAGATTGGTCTTTTGTTTCGTGGTTTTATTGACATATTTTTTATTATTTTTATGAGAAAGCATCAGGTGTCAATGAAAGTTTTAAAATTACATAAGAGGCAGATAATATAAACTGAAAAAAGAAGAAAAAAAATTCGCTGAATTTCTTAATTTTTTATCATTTGGATATTTTGACTATTAGGCCCAGGGCAAACCTCGAACTAACCATGAGCTTAATTTAGTCGAACCTATTACATTTGAAATAGGCTCATGCATAGTACGACGTTTGCTGCAATTGAGAACGGACCCTATTGAATAGGCTCGAGTCCAGCATAAGTTCGACAAGCCAAATCGGACATTACGACTCTGGAGCGACTTCGCGGCAAACGTCGTTTTAAACACATGCAGAACTAAATTCATAAATTATGCAAAATAGTAAATCAATCATGCAAGTCGCATAACTTACACCAAAGCCGTGAAAACAACCACTCCCCCACCTCCCAAACACTCATTCTCCCCCCTGGCGAGCATGCGCTATACGAAGACGAATGATGAACGAGACCGAGGAGCTCTGGATGCGAAAATAAATTAAAAACTATTCAAACTGAACATGTCCGCGTTTAGAAAATCCTTGCCACGAGACGAGACTCTTGAGTCTCGTAGTTTTTGTTTTGACTAAACAAAATATGTTTGCCTGGTTTGCGAGATACCGACTTGCAATAAATGTGCTGTATTCGAGAGCAACGAAGATGAGCCGGGCTGGATGGCAGGTAAAAGCGTTGCGTATTGTGAATGCATTAATCCGGAAAAGACAAACAAATGTCCGTGCGTTTCCCGTGCATTTTCATGTCCAATTAAAATCATAATAACAATGGGTGAGTGATTTAAGATCGACATTGGTTCGACGTTTGCCGCCACATAGGCTGTTAAGTCGACCTTCCACCGAACCTATGTTTAATAGGTTCGGTGCGACTTTAGTTCGACGTTTGCCATGGGCCTTAGATTACATTAAATCTTTACTCCGTCATGATAATAAGTATTAAATACTAAGCAGAAAACAAACAAACAAACAAAAGGAATTTTTTTTTACAACTAATCGATATATATGCAAGAAAAAGTGTGAGCTATTACTAAAATTCGAATTATCTTTTCCGAAGTGCACCAGGAAGCGAATTCCACAGTTTTGCTCCACTAAGGAGAAACCTTTCTTCAGATACTCGGTTTTGGGTAGCGGTAACTGCAGTGAGGTAGAGGAGAGTCTAAGGTTTATAAATGTGTCGTAATATCAAAACGATTTTCTTTCATGTCATTTAATTAGGCTGGTGTGAGGCCCAGTTTAAACGTCGAATTTCACATGTGCCGAATCTAGCTATTATGATTTTAGATTTGGCACGGGAAATGCAACTCTTAAACTGGGCCTGGAGTCTGACGCTTGACCTTAATTTAGCGATTTCATTAAAACAAAATCGATTATAATTAGTTTCCGCATTAAAAAATTCTTGAACACTAAACGCCTTAAGACTTAAGACTTATTAGACTTTTTAAAAGCATCTAAAAACATCTTAAAAACATCTTAAAGACTATTCAACGCAAGACTTATTACGTAAAACGAACATCAAAAAGTATATAAAATTCAAGTTAGTTCGATCCCTGGTTTTGACTTGAGTATAATGGCTATATAGACTATATAAGCTATAGTTTTGATCTTGCTTTTAATATAAAAGGACGTTCATGGGCATTGTTCGCGCGCATCCTTTCTACGCATGAATTTAGTGAGCGCCCGCTCATCATGATGACGTCATTCCAATGTTTTGATAATCAAAATATTATAAAAACGTCTTTAATGTTTTATAGTTCTAAGACAAAGTCGGGCACCCCCTTTTTTAGTTCGTTTTTTTAAAAGTAATCGGAAATACTTTACTTTAGAAAAAAATCTAAAAATTCTGACGATTGGATCAAATCGAAATTACATATTTTGTGTATAATTGGAATAGAAATTCACGTAAAGCGAAGGCTTCAAGTCCACACTTATAGCACAATAAAATTTTATATTTCTTATTTTAAACATAAATTTTCAATGGTAACTAGCATTTGGTTATTTTCTAGTATTCTGTGAAAAATGGGGACGACTTATTTTTTCAATAAAATATGACTTATTTTTGACAGTTTTTCATGTTTACCTTGTTCGCGTGTTTTTACCGTAAAAAGGATGAGCTTCCACGTATTCTGACGGCTAAACGAAGTCGGGGACCCCATTTTGTATTTGCTTAGTTTACTTCTAGTATGATGTTCTTTCATCGTGCAAAATGTTTAAAAAATATGACGATGGGATCTTTTCTTTTTTCTTTTAAACATATTTTGTCGTTACATTAACCCCAAGAGCGTAACGCTCATCGAGGGGGTCTTTTGCCCATGAACGTCCTTAAAACGTCTTTTATTCCTGCTTCATAAAAGTAATTATAATCTTTTTAATCATAATAAAACTAATATTTAAAAACTTACATAAAATTCGAGTTAGTTCGATCCCTGATTGGCTTGAGAATAATGCCGGGCTATAATGACTAGTCATCCGGTCGTCTTATATCTTAAGACGTCTATGATCCCTGTTTGATATAGTAATCATTTATTTTCTCAATAATCCAGGGTCACTTAATTTTCGCGTGATATTTTCGCAGCACTTTGATTTCGCATTTCATTTACAAAATCACTAAAAATAGATTAAATTGACGGGAAAATTCATGCAATAAGGTAATTAAATACTTAAACAGGACAGGAGGGGCTCTTCATCGTTATAGCAACTAGTTTATCGCTTTAAATATGTTCTACTCAGATCTCAGGCCATTTTAAATTTCCTTAAATTTAGGGTCCATGGAGAAAGCAGAGAAAAAAAGTTGCCTCAAAGAATGTTTAGCAAATCTTGAAGTTAGCACTTGATTGTTTATTGTTAGAAACCCGTCAAGTATTGGGTAAGGTAATACGTTATTAGGCTGCGTTCGTAATGTATGGCAGAGGGAAGGGGGGG